GTACATTTATAATCTCCTGCAGTGGGTGTGATAAACCAAACAAACCACTACGTGGACTTCAGGGTCAGACAGACCCAAGCCTGCAAAACCAGCATCACTATTACCTCTTGGGGCTCCTGAAGATTAATGAATAATGGATATGCAAGTGCCTCACACTCAGGGAGCCCTGGCTGGATGGCAGGTTTCATTTTCAACAGCCACCTCAGGATCATTGACTGTAATTTCATGATCTCATTTGTGAGTTCTCCCAGAGTTTGTCTGGGCTAGGAAATGTGAAAATTCATGGGGCAGTTCGGGAATCACTTAGGATGTCAGGACTTAAAAATTGGTAAATAAGAGGAAAGGATTGTTTATCCTGCCTTTCCTGTATGAATGGTACCACTGAAGAGCCAAATAATAAGTAAAATTTTCTTTAAGACTATATTAGCTAATTGGTAGAGAAGAAATGATAGAATATCACCAATTTGCAACTCATAATGAAATGATAGGTCCAGGCAATGATCATTAATGGCTGCTAAAATCACCCAAAGAAATATTCTTGAAAAAAAAATTGAACCCAAGTTTGACCAAACCTCTGAGTACAACTGCTAACTTACAGAAAACATTGTCAATTTGGAATTGGCAAAAATCCATACCATAGGAAACTCTGGAGTACAATTATGTTTCTTCCACAAAGAGAAAGAGGAGAAATGCATCCAAAACCTTAGATTAGGGGCACCTGAGTGGCTCAGTCAGTTAAGCAACTGACTCCTGGTTTCCGCTCACGTCATGATCTCATGGGTTGTGAGATCAAGCCCCACACCACCGGGCTCCGTGCTCAGATTGGAATGGGGGTGGCTCTTGAAGATTCTCTCCCTCTGCCTTCTTCCCCCAACCCCGCACACACAAGCACGCCTCCCTCTCTCTAAAATAAATCAATCTTTAAGAAAAACACTTGAGATTAAAAAATGCAAATCAGCCAATCAGAATATGTGGACCTGGTTTGGATCCTGATTTTTAAAGTAATTTTTTAAGAAATACAACTATTATGATGTTTATGAATAATTAGGGAAAAAAAGATCTTCTGACTTACCTTAAACTAACATTTCCCTTTAATCACACACATTTTGCCCTGTTCTACCCATCAGGGGCCCGGGTCAGGAGTTCACGTAACCCACCTACCATTTGTCTAAATATCTAAAAAAAATTCTCTTAGCTGAGGTAATCACCTCCTCCCACACACACACACACACACACAAATCCCAAACCTGGAACTTTGGACAAAAGCATGCAGGCAGGCAGTTTATTTGGGAAGTGATTCCAAGGAAGAGACATGGGGGTCTTAGAAGAGAAAACAAGGCAAGAAGGGAAAGCCACCCCAAGTGTATATTATCAAACTGATCACCACTCTGGGCAACTGGCTTGATCCTTCTAGGGCTTCTCCAAAGAGCCACGTAGAGTACCATTGAATTACCCTTCTGAGGAATAGAAGATGGGAATATTTAGTGCTGATTCCTGAGTTCTGGAAGTCAAAGGTTGCCCAAGGGGGAGTTACCTCTCTAGCACTTCTAGTTTTGTACATGTGTCAGAATGGCATGAGCATCCTAGCATATGTTCTCTGGGGGAAGCAGGGAAGCCCCCAGGAAAGAAGGGGAGCAATCCACAGTGTAGCTGAGGCAAGGTGCTACTGGGTCACTGCACAGGCAACTGGTTGTCATAGCAATAGCTGGACTGAAAGATGGGCAGGAAGGATGTGAGGTAGAGAGCTGGAGATGACTAGTACATTGTCGAATCAAACATGCCCTATCCTCTTGCATTGACAAATCACTTTCGCAACGACTGGAAGACCAGATTCAAATAGAGATTTCTCAGGCCCCTTTGAGTTCAGCCTCAGAATATGGTGGCGTGGGAAGATTTGATCTCTGGTTCCCCATCCATGCCTGCCTCCTTCTTTGCTCAGTCCAGGTCTACCGCAGGTCACAAGGGGTCTTTCACACACACGTGTGGACACCCCACAGCTCTGAGCTCTATCCACCCCTTCCTCCAAACATCTGCTCCTTGTCCATCTACAGCTCTAGGGGAGTGCACACTGATGCCCTTCTCAGGAAAACAGACCTGGTAAGAGACCCAGGCAGGCCCTAGAACCAGTCCAGAGCCCTCGAGCACAGTTTTGGGAGTCTTGGGCACCCAGAGCATAATCTAGAGCAGGGGGCAAATCTGCTTGGCCTCATATTCTGTGGCTGGAAGAGAGTCAGAGTAGAGTCCTTTAAAGCCTGGGGTCCCAGGCAGGGGCCCCTCCTGCTCAGGCCAAAAGGCAATGCCCATTCTTTGCCACCCACTAACTTTACACTATCAGGTTCTGGAGTCATACAGAACTTTGTCAATCCTGGCATAGGCTCTAAGCAACAGAAATTACGTACCTCTTCAGCTTCTTCACTTGTAAAAGGGCAGGAAAGGGGAGGCTATTTGAGGGTTAAAGGAGCAGTATTACACGAACACCTACCCTGTTTCTGGCATACAGTAGCCCTCCATAGCTGGCAGGTCTGTGAGGGCCCAGAAGTGCTGCCTCCATACAATAGCATCTGAGGCCAGGGTTTGTGCAGCTGAGGGGGGCTGAAGGAAGGGACACAGGCTGGAGGCGATGAACTTTCTCTGGTGCAACTTTCCTGGAAATGTATAAAAAAGAATAATTTGATAGATTTTCTGCAGAGTCCTAAAGCTTTTTTAAAACTTGCTCTAGATCCCACTGGACTGTAAGCTCCCTGAGGACAGAGATGCATATCCTTCTCTGTAAAACCCTAGCTCTTTGCGTATTGTCTCACACATAGTAAGTGCTTAATAAAAAAGCACTGGGTGAATGATTTCAAATTGGGCTTATTGCCTTTAATGGAAGACATTTATTTCTTATGTTGGCTCTAAGGTTTCCATAGACATCTCAAACTGGAAACATTCTCTTTCTCAAACCTGCTTCTTCCCCTAGTTCCCTGCCTCAGTGTACAGAACCATCAATGCCCCAGACCAGCAGTCATGCATCATGCTCAGTACTGTCCTCCTCATCACCCTATAACTTATACCTGATTAATTACCATGTCCCAATGGTTATATCCTTTAGTAGTTTTTTAATTTATCTGATTCATTACCACAAACCTAGTTCAGGCAACTATCCTCTCTCTCTTGAGATACTGCAGCATTTAGCTGCTCACCTCACACCAACTCATGTTCCCTGAATATGTCCTCCTCAGTGCAGCCAGAATGGCCTTTACACATTGGACCACATCTCTTCTGGGCTCAGGGTAAAGCCCAAGCTCCTTAACATGGCCTGCAAGACCCTCTGGTATCCATCATCTGCCCTACTAGACTATAAGATCCTTGAAAATGGTCTTTATCTTATATTTCTTTTTGCTCCTGTGATAAGCCAGATACTCACCGTTACATAAATGAGTAAAGTTTTTAGAATCAAAACAATTTTTGATCTCTTGAGAAAAGTATAAAATTTAAACCATAGACTTAAATTATCAAACATCAGAGATGAACCAAAACCTTTGAGCAAACAACTGCCCCTGAGTAAACTCACGGTGGGTTGGCCGTGGTGAGCAGGATGTATGGATGTATCCAGGCTTTGGTGCAGTATTCTAGGCTCCTTGCACTCTCCTTCCTTTGGATATGGAATTAATTTAGTCTTGGAGTGAGTCACTGGACTATTTCTAGAAATCACCATCTTTCTCTAGAGTGGTCTCTACTGACATCTGACATACTCAAGCCATGTGACTGCTCGAGAGAGCCTGTGTTTGTCTGTTTAAGAGAAACTGTCCTCAGGGATTCATCTTCTGCCTGGAAGGTTTTGATCAAGGATGAGGGAACTGGCCAATCTTTGTGTTCATCACACCAGCCCTGTGCTCACATCAACTTTCTTTTCTCATCAGTCAGAGGGGCATCTTCCAATGTTTGCTGAAGGTAGAGTATTCACGGTCTGATTTCTAGCACCAGGATCATGCCATCAACAGGTTTTACCTATTTCTTTGCTTGAACAAGATGCTTAACATCTCTGAATCTCAATTCAGTCATCTTTAAGTGGGGGTAAAAATTGTAAATATCTGATGAGGTTATTATGAGGATTAAATGAGATGCAGTGTGTTTTGAGTATAATATCACATTGTAAAGGTTTTATGAATGTCAAGTATTGTTTGTTTTTTTAATGTTTCGATTTAAAATGGGATTTGGGGGAGCTACTAAAACATGTGAAAAACTATAAGATAAAAATAAGTAAATGAGAAAACCAGAGTCAAGAGGAACATCACATCATTCCACAGAATCATGAGGATTTTAGCTTTCTTATATCAGATACCAACTTGGCCAATCATTCATTCATTGGCTGGATCATCATTTAACTTTGAGCAGCTCTTCAGTATGGAGTGAAAGACCTTGCTTGTGTTTCAGTCTGGGAAGAAGAACCCAAAGATACCCAACTAAAACACGAGAGGGAGACAAACTATAAGAGACTCTTAATCTCAGGAAAAAACTGAGGGTTGCTGGAGTGGAGGGGGCTGGGAGGGATGGGGTGGCTAGGTGATGGACATTGGGGAGGGTATGTGCTATGGTGAGCGCTGTGAATTGTGTAAGACTGTTGAATCACAGACCTGTACCCCTGAAACAAATAATACATTATATGTTAATATATATATATATATATATATATATATAAATCTATAAAATGGGGATAATAGCATCTGCCCCATAGGGATGCTGTGAGGATTAAATGATCTTTGTAAAATGCTTAGAATGATGCCTGGCACATAGTATTTACTCAATAAAAGTTACCTATTTATTAAAAAAACAAAACAAAACAGTGTATCTGGAACTATGGGAGAAATGGAAAAGGATATGTGTGCCAGGGCGTGCCTGGGGAAATAGCCCTTACCTACAATGAGCTGGGTTTGCAGCTGCTTCCCCATCCTGATGTGATCTGCTTTGTGTTCACATTTCAGCAACCACCCTGGGGCTGAACGTGACAAAGCAAGAAGATGGCCGAGATTAACACCCAGATCTCCCACCCTGCGGTAAGAACCATGGACAGAGATCTTGACCACGTTGAAAACGGCCTCAGCAGGTAAGATGGGCTTTCCATTTTATGCCCATAAAATGAGTTGTTCCCATAGCTGATCTAGACTGTGGGGTAAAGAATGGCTTAGCCTGTGGCCAACCACAGGTTGGAGGGTGCTGGCTATTCACAGAGCTCCTTCTGACTTCACTTATTTCATCTCACTTAAGCCTCACAACCCACTGAAGTAGTTTCTATTCTCATTTTAGAGAGGTGGAAAATGAGGCTCAAAACGTTATGTAACTTCTAAAAGGTAACAAAATGAAGATTCAAATACAGCAAATTAAATTAAGTTTACTGTAAAAACTTCTCCAAACTGCCATACTTTCCTGGGTACACATCAGACATTTATTGGACTACAGAGTCCAATATATGCACCAGCCATTGTCCTGGGCTCTAGGGATGTAGTACGAATCAGATGCTCAGTCCCTTGCTTCCAGTGGAAGGTTAGGATTCACACTGTGCTCATGGTCTGCAAAGAGTGGGCTGTGCCTTGCCAGTGAAGCCAACTGCCCCATCAATGACATCCCCACACAGGCAGCCATAAGGAAATCTGGGCCTTGAGTTCTACTTCTAGCCCTGTTCATAGCTTACTAGTAGACTGGGGAAAAGCCACTTAATCTCCCATGCCTTTCTTCAACTGCAAAATGGAGCAGCATCTTTTCCAAGCTCCTGGCACAATGGTGAGGAAGTGGGAGCGTGCCTATTTGGTGCAAATGGACTTACATTTTTATGTTTCTTAAATTCTCAATGAGTTGATTGAATTGAACCATGAGAAACTTTATTTCCACTGAAAACTTCTCCCTCCCATGATAATGGCATATTATCCAATGACCATAAACTGCTATGACAGTCCCTCAGTGCTCACATCCCTGGTATTGGGCCCTCATCCACCATTTATCCTCAGTTATTAGTGTATATCACATCTTCTTTCAGATGCACATTTGGTTTTTTCTGTCCAGATTCTTGGTCCCACTTCTTAGCTAACTCAGCTCATGAGCGATGGATGACAATTTCCAAAGAGATTGAGTCCTTGTAACTACAAATTTATGTAGCCCTAGGACCCCACCTTTGGGGATTTCAGGCAAAGAGAGGAATATCTCAAAGCATTCCAACAGATATTTATTGCCTCCAACCATTTTAACTATGGTGCTGGAGCCCCAGGAATTTTTGATATGATTCAGGGCCGTCAGAAATTCTCATTCTACTCAAATTTTTCCCTCCCAACTGGCTTACTGTCAATACCACTGTCCCACCACTGGGGACTTATTCCTTTAGGTTAAGTCATTGCCCCTAATTTAAAAGAAAAAAAAAGAACACTCTTAGGACAGATATCTGCTATTAAAACTTTTGTATGCATGAATAGCTTCTTTTTCACATCTGTGCTAATAAACCTCTTGGGGCAGGGTGTTCAAAGAAGATTGGGGTGGAGGGGAGAACAGGTCCAAGCATGGGGCACAGCAGTAAAGTGAAGCTCCCTGGGCAACATCGGGCTCCTGGGACCTTGGGCCCAATGGGAGAAGGACAGAAGCTGTTAGAATCAAGAATTTGAAGCAAAATGGACCTTTCCCCCATTGCTCCCTTTTGTCTTGAGTGGGACATCATCAGAGCCTCTCATGGACCTTTCAGACTCCCTGGGGCTAAGAACAACAGGGTCTTAATCTGGCTCTTTACAGTTAGATACTCATGAAAAGGAAGGCCCAGTTGGTGGACTGGGGCTCCTGCCCAGAATGCCTGCTTGACCAGACACCACCATGGTCCATCTCTGCCTGATTTATCCTGGCTATGCCTCAGCCAGTGGCCTACAAGCCCAGCCTGAGGCATGGGCTGTTCAAGAGAGCTCACTGGGTCTCCTGGAAGATGACCTTTGCAAAATAAACTGCTAGCTCAATTTAAGCCACGTGGACCCCAGCGATGGGCCTCTGGCTTCCAAGAGACTCTGGGGGCTCGCGCTGGGTTTATGCACACTCGGAGGGTCGGTCAGCCACAAAGTTAGGGGCTCTGAATTGATGCCCTTTGACAATGCTATTTACCATCTTCATGGATGGGAAGAAGCCCTCCTACCCCCCATCTCCTGACCAGCATGATGACTAACAGGCTCGGGGTCAGGCTGGCTGGGTTTGAACATTGGCTCTGCAACTGACCAGCTCTGAAAAGTTGTGCAACTGCTCCAGACTGCACTTTTCTCCTCTGCACAGTGGACTAGTACTGACCTCAGAAGGCTGTAGTGAGGTTAAAACAGGTGAATGCTCTCAGCACCGTCCCTGCTGTGTAGAAAGTGTTCAGTCAGTGCTCACTGTCAGTCTTGGGAATGAGTCTCCCTCCTGTGTGCCTTCCCTGGCGTCCCAGGCTGGAAGCCTTCTCCTCCTCTGACCTCACATAGCTCCAACTGTCCTGACATCTGGATCTGGCCATTTCCTGCCTGTAACCAAGTCATGCTTTCTCAGCCTGACCACTAGTCTGGTCTCATTGAGCCTCACTTGCGGCCTTGCCCAACCACTCTCCTGGTAAAAGCTTGTTGACAGATTAATATAGAATCCCATGGAGACACTATGGAGATTTCAAAAAGAGAGAGAAAAAGAATGCTTCCTTCATGAGACAGATGTTTGCTTTATCTTATGGAGGCAGGACTGGGTTAACAGATGGAAGTTTCTAGAATGGGTTCCTTGGCGTTACTAAGGATTGAGCATGTGTGTTCAGGCTGGGGGATGGAACAGCCTTGGGCCAGAGGCCAGGTCCACGCCCCTCCTCTGCTTCCCAGCACAGTCCAAAATCTGTCTAAATACAGACTAGTTTTCCCTATAAGATTCATTTGAACAGGGACTCTGGCTTGTACACACAAAATTTTTAAAGTTTCAAATCACTGTTTTAGGGGACGAAATCGTGTTTGAATAAACCATAGATCCTTTCTTTAAAATTCAAATCCTTTTAGGGGCACCTGGCTGGCTCAGTTGGTAGAGCATGTGACTCTTGATCTCAGGGTCATGAGTTCGAGCCCCATTTTGTGTATAGAGATTACTTAAACTTTTAAAAAATAATAAAAAACAAAATTAAAATCCTTTTAGAAAGCATATGGGAGAAGTAATTATGAGGGTTTTTCCTTACATATTAATAATTCTTTGTCCTCAATGATATCAAGAAACTGTGCTAGTAGGAACCTGTGTGTCACTGTGATCTTTGCTGAATGGCCCCAGGAAGGAGGAGATATCATGTCCGCATCCCCTGAGACATCCCTGTCCCAAAATCTTTCACCAAATTAGAGAGCCAGGTTTCTGTTTCTCCTTTTTTAAATCATTGGGATCACTTTCCTGGTGACAAACCATAAGGAAAGATGAAAACATTGCAGGAAGGAGCTCTGTGAAATGAAAACATTTCATTTGAACATGTTTTGTTCATTTGAACAAAAAAGTCAAAACGCTGGAAATACCAGAAATAAAACTGTCTCTAATTTTTTTTTCTATTTAGATCTGTTTAGTTGACTTGATTATTTAAGAGCAGTCTGGCATATTTGAAAAGATAATGCAGTAGGAAAAGACTTCAGAATCTGCAACAGAGAATTACCGTGAGGACCGAGGGCACCTCAAATCTCAGATCAATCTCTCGGTGTAGCTATTTTAGGCGAGCTTTGGGGCACCGGGGTTTGTGTCCTACCGAAGAGAAGCCTTCTTCATCCTGCTCTCTGAGCAGAGCCCAAAGCAATTATCACCAAAGAACACCATTTTCAGCCTGCTTCCCCAGGACCGAAGACAAAAATGCACTCACATTAGTTCCCTGGTCACATGTGGCCAATGGCAGTGCCTGTGGGTCAGTCAAGTTCCTCAGGGCTGGAGAGGAGGAAAATAAAACAAGGTATGATCATCGCACCCTTGCTCTCAAAGGTTTTGTTTACTCTTATGTCTCCAAAGTCACCAGAGAAAGACGCCAGGTTTTCCGCAAAGTGCAAAGCTGACGACAAGTTGCCATTCTGATGAGCACCCCTGTCTCTTCCCAGGGACAGGGGAAACGTTTACCTCACAGACACGAAGTTCCTCTTTATAAGAAAACTTAGAAGATGAGCATCACAAGTTGAAAATTCCCTTCTCCTGCGAAAACAGCCACATCATTGTGTTGTGCCGGCTGCTCTTTTTCTTGCCAATCGCCAACTTCACCAAGCTCCTTCCTGCAAAGCCATCATCACACTGCCTACAGTCGGCGTCCACAAATGGGAGGGCAGCTTCGGGGTTGTTCTTGTCCCAGACCCCTCCGCCTGCTCCCAGCAGGATGGAGCCTGGCCCCCCATCTCTCCTGCCTCTGTATTTCTCTGGCAGGTTCTGGATCCCCATTCTTCCATTGGTTGCCAGAAGTGGCTCCCTTTTTCTCAATACCTGTGGGTCCTCAGGGACTCAAAGTGTCACCTCAGACATCTGGCTCTTCTCTCTTCCCATCTCCTCTTCCACCTGCTGGGTAAAATCAGTTTCTCTGAGGAATAACTAATTGGGTTGACTAAATACCCCCACTCATTGAACGAGGGTAGAGACTTGGGAGCTAGAAGACATCAGAGAACTTCAAGCATCAAAAAAACAAGTGAGAGAAGAAAAGGCCCGCTTGGGTCCCTTGAACTTACTTCCTAGAAGGCTTTCCCTATTCTTCACAGTGAAATGTGCCTTTTCTGGACTTGGCTGTTTGAGCAATACTTAAGTCGATACTAAATCACCAATTTTTCCTTTAGTTCCTTTTTGCAGACTATAAAACTTCAGGGAGGGTAAGTGACCAGCCCACAGAACACCCAACTAATAGTTAGGTGTTAGGATAGGGATTTGAACCCAGGCCTCCTGGCTCCCCACTTTGCCCCCGCCCTTTGAGCGAGTGTCCCAGACCCAGCCCCCACATGGGAGCCCTCGCTGCTGCCAGGAGCAGGCCTGCTTTGGAGTCTGGGGTGGGTTTTGCCCTCCTCACATCCTCATCAGCTCTGATGTCATTGATTCTTTTGCTTTTAATGCAAATAAATCTGTTCTCAGGATGTGTCCTCACGTAATTAACAGAAAGCAGACTGGGCAGAAATGCTGGGCCAGCTTCTTGGTGCCCAGAGCTCCCTGAGGAACTGCTGGTGGGGACCGAACACCTTCACCCTTGGGATTGCCTCTGGATCTTCCGGGCACACATGCTGTGATGGAGCTGCAGCCCAGCTGTTGGTTGTTGCACCCCTAACCCCACCACACACGAGCTGCTAGGATCCAGGGACTAGAGATATGGACTCACTCACTTTCATCCCACTCTCCCTCCTCTAGGAACTGCCCAGGTTGCCTTGGAATGCACATTCTATCCTCATAGTATACAGATTATTAGAAGGGCTAGGGGATCAGAGCTTCCAAACTGCAGCGGGCCCTCTGGCAGGGTTTCCCATGAGTCTAAGGACGAAAAACATGAGTTTTTCCAGAGCCATGTCTCTAGTGGCATACCACAGGGCTCAGTCCTCAGCCATGTCCTGTTAAACTTTTGCTTTAATCAGTGCCGTATGTGAAAAGACAGAGAGCAGCTTCATAGAGTGGAGGAGAGCAGGCTTTTAAAAAAAAAAAAGATTTTATTTATTTATTTGTTTGACAGAGAGAGACACAGCGAGAGAGGGAACATAAGCAGGGGGAGCAGCCTTCCCGCTGAGCAGGGAGCCGGATGTGGGACTCGATCCCAGGACCCTGGGACCATGACCTCAGATGCTTAACGACTGAGCCACCCAGGGGCCCGAGAGCAGGCTTTGACGTGGGATGGAATGACATTCAAATCTCCGCTTTGCCGCTTGGCCGTATGATCTTGGGGAAGTTATTTAACCCCTCTGAACTTCAGTTTTCTCTCTTATGCGGTGGTTATGTGGATTAAATGATAAGATCTATGTGGCTGGCATTTAGTAAACAGTTAATAAATGGCCTATGGTTTGTGTATTGCATGTGAACCAGATGGAGCTGGGAGGAAAGACTAGCATGGCACCACTGCATACCAAGGGTCCCAAAACATCAAGTGGCTCAGATAAATGGAAAGTCCAAAACTTACTTCCAACAAACCATTTGTACATGCACAAGATAGGACCTTCTGTCTTTTTTTTTTTTAAGAGCCTAAAGCGTAAGCTCTTTTCTTTTTTTAAAAAAAAAATTTATTTATTTATTTGAGAGAGAGAGAATGAGAGATAGAGAGCACGAGAGGGAAGAGGGTCAGAGGGAGAAGCAGACTCCCTGCTGAGCAGGGAGCCCGATGTGGGACTCGATCCCGGGACTCCGGGATCATGACCTGAGCTGAAGGCAGTTGCTTAACCAACTGAGCCACCCAGGCGCCCAGGCGCCCAGGACCTTCTGTCTTAATAGCAGCCCGTGTTATAAGACTGGGTTTTGGCTGATGGTAGTTGGTGATAGGGACACCAAAAGCCCACAAATTCACAAACCTACAATGACCTCTGGCTTGGGGTCCAGTAACAACAGAGTGGTCTCGGTCTCCATGCCCAGCCAGGCAGGAATGCAGGAACCTGCTCACAGGAGCACGACCATGATGGGGAAGAGCCTTGAACCTGATGAGGCGTGGCTGGGTGAGCTGGGGGATTCCAGCCTGCAAAACCAGATGTGGCACAGGTGTGAGAGCTCTCCCTTCGTGTCCCATCTACATGAAGGTGGTCATGGAGAAGATGAAGTGGCCCGCCTCTGTGTGGTTCCAGCACAAAAAAAGAAGTAGCCTTGGTCTGAGGAAGCTGAGGGATGGAAGAGCCCACTACGAAGATGGCCCAGCTGGGCCATGGGACGGTAGTGAGCGCCCTGCGGCTGGAGACGGCAGGGATGTTGTAGAAAGAGAAGTCAGCAGATCTGCAGCTGGGATTCAGGACTCTGCCTTCCAGTCCCTCACTGAGGACAGAGAGCCTTTTCTTGACATTAAGTATTGCTTACTTCCTCAACTGTGTTGCCACCTGGTTAAGAAGGCTGATTAGGTTGGAATGGATCATGTGATGGAGTTAATTTGTCCTGCCTGGGCTCTTCAAGACTCAGAGAATGAAGTGTAAATCCCTAGGGGTCAATGCCTGGATGGCTTTTAATCAAGCTGATCAAATTTTTTAGCCCTAGGAGATTTTAAAAGAGGGAATGAAAGGAAAATATACCCAAACACATTGGTCTTATTCTGGGCAGTTCAACAAACGCCAAGGCTCTACTGATGTGACTGGTGCTCATATCGAGCCGTGGGCATCTGTCTTATTTGCGCTCATGCTCTTCGCCCTGAATTGCACAGGCGAGGTCACTTGCCCAGCCCCGCACTGCAGGGGACAGACGTTAGGGTTTGCCAAAAGGGCATAGTGGAAATGAATTTTCATGCGAAATCGCTGTACAAATGCACGTGGAGGGCTAGGCCAATTCCATACGATATTCTAGGACACCCCTCTTAACCAAATACCAAATGGGCTCCTGGGAAGGCTGCCAGTCGAGCACACAAATACCTGCCCAGGTAGTATGACTGTGGTGTACCTACAGTCTGGCCTTAGCAGATAGGATTTCAGAATGCAGAATGGTGTTTGAACCAGAATTCTTGTTCTGGGATCACTGTGCCGAAACAGCTGCTGTGGTTCCTGAAGGTGGACCCTGGGACACCCCCGCCCGGCGCTTGGATGAGGACCGTGTGCTGCTGGCCTGCACCCTTAAGTCCATGGGCAGTGGCTGGACAAGATACCTTCCGGGGTCAGGCTTGCTGTAAAAGAAAGGCCATGTTTATCTTAAAAGCTGGGATCTGCTGGATCTTGCTGGAGCATGGACTGACAGAGTGAAGACCAGTGCCGGCGGCTTTCCTCATTAAGTAGGACATCTGGCCAGCTCATCCCTGAGTGTGTCCAGGAGGGAATGAGCTTGAAATCAATTTAGCCTGCTGCATATTTGATTTCCTAGGGTCCACTCGCCGAGCAAGGAGACTTCATCAGAACTGCAGCAGGAGATCACCATGGAGACCAGAGGACTGGCAGAGTCCAGGCGAAGCTCCTACACCAGCCAGGGGCCTGCTAGGTAACCGATCAGGCTCTGCGCTCTCCTTGGGAAGAGGGAGACCAAGGCAGGAGGAAGGTAGATGAGTCTCAGGAAGAAATGGGGGGAGGGCGTAGGGGACGGTGGTGGAGGCGGAGTTGAAGATTTGGAGAAGAGCAGTCAGAAATCTATCCCTGAGTACTATCCTCTCAGGTCAAGTGTTCTGAGCTGAGAAAAACCTAAGAAAAACTGCTGTTATCTGGAATTGCTTTCATATAAAGTGATATTGAGGTACTTGCTCAAGTCTGGAAGAATTTAGAAAAAAGCCAACCAGGAAGGGTTCCAAAAAGAATTGAGAAACAAGACCAGCCAGCCGCAGGAGAGCACTGGTGGATTTCGTGGTGTGCAGATGGCCCTAGGGACACTGTCGTGATAGCCTCTGGCAGGCCCTCTCGGGTGCATAACTCACGTCCTTGCAAAAGGATTTGAAAGATTACCCAGGTTCTGAGCTGATGACATCTGCACTTGGCTTCGAGAGCGGTGCCACCTTGAAGAAGTCATCTTACCTTTCCAGATCTCATCTGGAGACGCATCGAACAACGTGAGGCCGGCATCAGAGCCAAGTGTTGACTCATGACAGGTGCTCAACAAACGTGGGGCTTGTTATTTCCTTCCACCATTTTTTTTTTAACCAATGCTGTAGTTTTATATAGACATGTGTTCTGAAGTTTTTGCTTAAGATTATTACAAAAATCAATTCCTCTAGTTATTCTTCATATTTTTCATTGCAGAGGAATATTTGTTTCACTAGCCCCTTGTAGCTGGGCATTTCCATGATTTCCGGTGTTTTTGTCTTACTAATGAAATGCTGTCTTAGGGCTCACTGACCCCAAGGAAGAGGACACCTTCACACCAGCCCACATTGAAAGGCCTGGGGGAGGGCCGAGGCAGGAGGCTGGTACAAGCTCAGACAGACGGCCTCAAGGAAAGGGAGCTAACAGGGCTCATGAGAGGGAGCAGGGGAGGCACCTGCCCTCTCCCTCTCATTTTCTCCTGGCATGTCATGATCTTTGTGATTTTTTTTTTCCCCTGCATGTCTCCTCTGTTTCTGGCTTTCTCTGTTCACACATCAGCAGGCACAGGCTGAAAATGCCCTTTGCTATACGATCTTGAGTGGAAACACCCAACCCCATCTTGGAGTGGTTTTTAGTTCAGAGGCTTGAGTGACTCTCTGTGGGTGTCTTGTCCATTCCTGGGCCTGTTGGCTGAAGCTGGAGTGGGGAGCGTGACCTTGCTTCCAGCCCCTCAGCAGCGGGAGGGTGGGGGCGAGGAGTGTCCAGAGCAGAGATGCTGGGCTGGACAGGCACCTCCACGTCTGTCTGCAGCATCGGCTGTCAACATCTCTGTGCATGGAATGTCTTCTTGCTTTAACTTACTCTCTTAGGCAAAGTTCCCAAGTGTGTGATTAGGGCCAAGGCACACGACAGCTCATGATCTCGTTCTAGACTGCTCAGAACTTATTTGATTGAGAACAGTGGCATGCACCGTAGGTGCCAAGTCAGGACAACCGGATACCAAGAAGCAGAGGTCAGGCTCTCTTCTCATTCCCCTCTGGAAGAGACAGGGAAGGCAGGAGGCAGGGCTGAGGGAAGGCTTCTCATGGAAAGCTGGAGCTAAGATGGGCTCTCGGGACATGGGCTGACCGGTCTCAGGTGCTTGCGGCCCCGGCAGGGTCTGGCTCCAGGAGACAGGTCAGCACAACTTTCCAAGGAACTTGTGTACAAGCCTGGGGAGGAAAAAAGAGTGTATATAACAAACAATAAGACAAGGGTTAGGAAAATAATCTAAGTTGTATCTGGGCACTTGTTCCTTTAAACTTGTTCTAAATTTTATCACCATTTGCAGATTGGATTCTTTTCTATTCCTATGCTTACCAGTCATAACAAAGAGCTCTACAAAAGGAATGATAAGCAGAAAAGCTGCTAATGCCCCATTTGAAGGATCATGCCTTTGGCAGAGTCCAAGTGTTAAAAGGACAAAGTTATAATGAAGACAATGCCCTTTATCTAGAAAGCTCTGTCCCAGATGGCAGGTTCTGGAGGAAGGGGGAATAAGGCCCCAGCAGAGAGGAGATGCACACCTGAGCCTAGGGCCCCCAGGACCCATGTCCTACCAGTCATCTCTGCTTCCGCCCCAGCCCTGGAAAAGAGGGCTTTCAATCTCCTTCCTCTCTGCACTGGCTGCCCATCCATGTCCTTCCAGGATGTCTCGCCTGATCATCTCACTGCGAGCCTGGACTACCAGGCACTTACACCATGAGGCCCAGAGAACGGACTCCTTCCTGGAGCGTTTCCGTGGAGCTGAGCTCAAGGAGGTGTCCAGCCGAGAAAGCAATGCCCAGTCAAATGTGGGCGGCCAGGAGCCACCAGACAGAGGAAGAAGGTAAGGAACCAAAGGGATGAGCCACCCACACCAGGCGGGGGTGGGGCAGGAAGCACTGCTTTGCTCCTGCAGCTTAGATCCACTATGTGGGTGGCCTGGAGCACCAGCCTCATGACCTTGAGGAAGGTGTCTGGGATGGGGGAGTACTGCATGCTCTAACAGTCACCGCCCCGAGTGCAAGAAGGATTGCAGGAGAGGAAACCCTCTAACCAGAGTCCCCAGCCTCCTTTGACCCTGCACAGAGTTTCCATCAGCGCCCCCTGGAATTGGTGCTCTCAAATGCATCTGGGGATGCTGGCCTCACCCATCTGTCTCCATCAAAGGACCCTCATCCTAGATTGCACTGTGACCCACCTTACTAAAAACCAGGGACTTTAATTGATAAGCCTTGGGAGTACCTAAGTGGTACCCATAATTTTATGCATAGGTTTACATACAATCTTCTGGGAGGAAGGTCTGAAGGTTGGTCAGAATGTTCAAGAGGAGCCATCCATATCCCAGATCAGGATAGGAACTATGGGAGTGGGGAGTGTAGGTGGGGTAGGGTGGGGCGTGGGGAGAGTGTTAGCTTTTTGGTAGGAGAAGGGTCTGCAGAACAAGGGCTCTGAGCATCTTCATGCATGGCCCACCACCTGACTGGGGGCTGTGGCTGGTGCAGACATTTGAGGGAAATCTGCAGGTGCTGACTTACTGACCCCCCCACACACACACACATCCCATACACAGAGCTGCTGCCTCACCTCCTCTCTTGTTCTTGGGAAGTCTCCCCAGCCTGTGGTCAGCAGGGAGACCACTGGGCCACCACAGGTTGAATCCAGTGACACTGAGCGACAGAAGTCTCTTTAGGACCCTCTAGGCAGTCAGAGAGGAAGAGAGGTAAGGTATGGAGGGGGAAGCTGATCACCTCTGAGCCTCTCAACAGGAAGCCTCTTGCTCAGAATCTGCTTTCTGAAAAAGGGGGCTTAGAAAGATCTTTTGGCTGAATTCTCTAAGGCCAAGATTTATAAGATGTAAAGGTGAAAACAAGCATGGTTGTTGCAGAGCAGGTGGTCCTTATATAATTGCTAGAGAAAATCCTTCGTGTTTTTGTGTCAAATGAGCAGAAGAAGGGCTCAGGTGTGAGTGGCTCAAACAGGCATCCAAGGGCCCCTGGGGAGGGAAGGTCATGCAGCCTCAGAGGAAGCAGGATGGATCTTCCGGGTGCTTCCATTTTGCTTCCATGTTTGTATGTTTGTGTTGTAGGCTTATTGTAGATTATGCAGTAGATTGCAAAATATACAAGCATATTTAAGATAAAATATGAGAGTTCAAGGAAATTTCTTGCTAGCAACCACTCTAGGAGAGGAACATTTAGTCTCCCTGCTGGGAAAGGCATGGGAATTGCTGGCTGAGATGCAAAGGCCTGGCATTTTTGGGCTCACGTTTTCACCTGGGCTTGGACCACAAAACCTCAGGCTTTCTGGGCTTGGGAAGGGACCGCGGAGGGCCTGGGTGCTGGTGGGGACATGTGCAGGGCCATCCCAGGTTCCCAGGGCCAGGCATCCTAGACCGAGAGGGGGCTCCGTGACTATAAGGCCTGTGTGCTGTTGGCTGCTGAGCCAGAAAGGAAGGAGGGATGGCAGATAAGGAAGAAGAGAAGACAGAGGAGGAGGAGGGGAGAGAGGTTTGCTACCGAGCCAGCCAGATTGCTTCAGTTCCTGGTGGGCAAGCAAAGACTTCTTTGCTAACATGATCAAATTATCTTCTCTACAAACTTAGCCTAATGAAGATGAACATTGGCTTCTTTGTCCATTTCCCAGTGTGACCAGATGAGCAGAGGGTTGAGCTAGGACCTCATCAGGGTCAGGTCCCAACTCTACCTCAGAGGCCTGGTCACTCACCTGAGGGTTCAGAGTGGGTAGGTGTATGCGATGGTGCAGGATGGTGGCTGATCAATCAGGGAGGCTTCCTGAGGGAGGAAGACTTGGGATTTTCCAGGCGAATCCCATTGGCAAAGCAGAATGTATGCAAAGACAGGTCTTGGTCATTCTGTTGGTTTGGCCTTCAGAGACCCCAGACACAGAGATGTGGTAAACACAGGCCATTATATCGCAGGGAGCTACACTTTCTTTCCCAATTTCACAGGGGTTGGGAAATTCCTCGGGGCACTTTGTGATGATCAGAACCTCTCCCAAGACAGTTAGAGCCACATCCTGGATGGTGAGAAGGAGGGAGACTTGAGCAGGGGTGAGCAGAAGTACCGGAATGGCATTTGGCTCGATGTTTAACATCATAGAAGAGAAGAGGCTCCCTGAGAGCCAGGCAGGAGTATCACCAGCCAGCGGCTTTGGTCCTGGCTGTCCTCTGTGAATGGTCTGCAGTGACGATAGACAGGCAGCTTGAGGCCACGCTGGCTTTCTTAAACTAGCTGTGTCAACAACACATGTATTAGCAACCGAGTCCTAGGAGGTAATGCCTTTTCCTAGAGAACACCAAGAAGGAGGACTGCTCAATTCAGCTTTATTTTTTTTTTTTTAAAGATGTTGTTTATTTCATAGAAGAGAGACACCGAGAGCAGGAACACAAGCAGTGGGAGTGAGAGAGGGAGAAGCAGGCCTCCCGCCGAGCAGGGAGCCTGATGCGGGGCTCGATCCGAGGACACTGGGATCATGACCTGAGCTGAAGGCAGACGCTTAACGACTGAGCCACCCAGGCGCCAGCGATTCAGCTTTAAATAAACGTGCAGTTGGGTGCGCAACCAGCCTCCACTCTCTACCCAGTTCTTAAAGAGACCAGGGTGGCAGGCTTGGAAGTGTTAAGATTAATGTGGGGACAAGGGCCCAGGGCAAGATAGACTCAAAACTAGGACAGTTCTGTCCACGTGGGGTCTACTTTTCGCCCTGCAAATCAAGTCAGATGCAGCTGCTGTGATTGCATTTTCAAGGTGGGGGGAGGGCGCCTTCTGAGAGCCCTGCCCGCGCAGATGAGGGGAGCAGGTTGCTGCGGCTGCTGAAGGTGCTCAGCCGCTTCATCTGAGTGCACCCCCGATGGCAGGTGCAACTCGGCTTCATGTCTGTGCTCCTCGTAGCTCCTGGCACACTGCCCGGCACATGGTTTAAACTGAATGAAATTGAGTGGAACGCGAGGCCAGGATTGGGTGGGATTCACATAGCAACTCTAGTTTATTCAGAAGACTCAGGTTAGCCAAAAGTTCATCCTCTCTTCCCACAAGGCTTTACTACAGCTAACCAGTCACAAAAAAGTGTTTGTTCTGGATGCTTCAAGCTGTGTGGAAAGGCCCAGGGCACAGGGGTAGGGTGCCCGGATAACCACCTAGGGCGAATGATCCCCAGCAGTTGGAACTGAGCTCCGATTCCCATGCTGCATTCTGTTTACTTCCCTGCAGTGGCTGGCCCCTGGCCAGAAACAACACCAACACCTGCAACAACTCAGAGGAGTGAGTACCTCTGCTCCCCAGCAGAGTCCCCTTGCTTTCCCTGGTCCCACCGGCCACCTTCCTTCCCGTAGATGCCCCGGCTCCACCTCCCTGCTCAAACACGTCTGCTTCCCGGGACACCGCTAGACTAGAATCCCGTTCCTTTCATCCAAATACCATCCCTGTGGACAAATGGGGAAGGGACCTGGTCCGTATGACTTCTTGGAGCAAGCCATGTTCTCTCTTCCCCTCATTTTTCTCATCTATAATGCAAAGGGGTTGAATTGCATAAATGTCTTAAGTCTTGACATCTTCTATCGCTACGTATTTGAGGGTGCAAACTCTGAGTTCCTTTACAGAGCTGTGCATATTCTCCTTCATGATGAGAATGCATTTTCCTTTCTACAACCTCAAGCTCCAGGGGGTCCCAGTGAAATGCCCTACCCTAAGGCCAATCCAGGCCAATTTGGAGCGTGTGATCAGGACAGTGGGAAGAGGAAAATTAAATATTTCCAGAGACTAGCCTCTTGAAATGGTGACCTGCTGTAATTACTTTTTATCACCAGATGTTGAGCTGGCAGATCAGTTTGAGGTATGATTCTGGCAAGTGCCACTCAAGCGTCCAGGGAGGGTGTGTGCATGTGTGTGATCTTACACGTGTGTTAGCATGTGTGTGTGTGTGTGCGCGCGCGCGCGCACCATTCTCCAGCCTTCTTTATGGAGTACCATGGGGGTAGGCACGGGAGGAAGTCTCAGTTGGAGCTTAGGGAAAAAACCATCAATAATCAGCAAGAAATCTGAATTTCCTGACTTCCATTTGAAAGAGAAATGTGCCAAGACTTTTTCTTATTTCCCTTTGTTCCTTGGAAAGAAGTTTTTCCCATTTTCCTCCATGAAACTTAGTTGCATTTTGCTTGCATAAATATCGATATCCAATCCCGAGACTCAAATGCCAGCAGTCAAGATAAATGAAATTATTTAATCTGCAAAACAGCAGCTATTGTGATATGTGCTTGATCTAAGCCAAGCTTGATATTAAACACCCTTGAAACCCTGGTGTTGGGTCCTGCAATCTGAGAAAGGCTCAGGGCACTGGAAAGCATGGACAGAGGTCCTGCTGGTCTCTAGCCTTCCCTGTTCTGGGGCTGGGATGTAGACGAGGATGGAGGGGGATAGTGTTGGCTGCATCAGGCTCTTACACATCTTTTCAGACGGGTTCGAATCCTGGATCCACACTGCAGTCCAGGGATCAAGGGACAAAATTGGGGACTGTCCCAAAATGTGACCATCTGGGCACAGAGTTACAGAAATAACTCTTACGGACATCCTTCCCCATTCTTCCACCACGTTTCTGGCATTTTCACTTCGTCTTAATGGGTCCTGAATCATTTTTCTCTCTCCCGGAGCAAACCGCTCCCAGCCCAAACTGGCGTTGTTTTGCGGCTCTGTATAGGTCTTTCAGGGCAGTGCTGGGTGGATTCAGAGATGCAGTTGGATGGCGCTGCGTCTTTCATAGGCCCACAGCAGGTTGATAACTAGGGAAAAGGCCAAGGCCTGTAACCCCCAGCCACACATCCTGGCCTGGTGTAATTAAACTCCCAGCCGGTCTAAGCTTGCCTGATAAGCTTGTGGGCAGCGCCCTCTGCTGGTGCCTTGACATTAAGACCAGTGGCGGTAAACCCTTCAAGGGACAATGCATAGTTGAGTCAAGAGGCCGGAAGATGGGTGACTGTCTTTGCTCTTCTCATTTAATAAGTTTAATACTTTTTTATTTTTATTCGATTTATTTATGCACTCACTTTCAAAAACTTGGAAAACAGAAAAGCACCCATGAGCATATACCCTTAAAAAATATACTTCGTTTTAGTAGTGGAATCCCATTATCGGAGATAACCCCTCTTAACATGTTGGGAAATAGCCCTCCAAGTTTTTCTATATATACTGAATAGATAGATAGATGATAGATAGATAGATACATACATACATAGAAAGAATGAATATATTATATAAAAATATATAATGTATATACTGGTATATACTATATTATAATTATTATATATCCTATATAATAATTATTTTTATTATTATAATTACACATAATTACATATATGATATATAGATATATATTGCGATCAATATATATCATCTCTCTCTATATGTACTTTCAATACATATATGCTGGTTAGGTGCATTTGTATCCCAATTCAGCCACAAAGAGCTTTGTGACCTTGGTCAAGTTACCTGACCTCTCTGTGCATGTTTCCTGACTTGTAAAATAGGGTTTGTGTTAATGTCTTACTTGCAGGGTTGTGTGAAGACTAAATATGTGAGTACATGTACAATGATTAGAACAGTACCTGGTCCATAGTAAGTGCCCAATAAATACTGACTAGCGAGGTAAGCAGAACAATTTCAGTACCGCCTCCCTAAAGATGGCTACATCCTAATCTCTGGAACCTGTGGAGAGATTACCTTATATGGCAAAGGGAACTTTGTAAGTGTGATTAAATTTGAAGACCTTGGAGATTATCCTGGATTACCAAGCAAGCCCAGTGTAATCACATGAGTCCTTAAAAGCAGAAAGGGGAGAAGAAGAGTGGGTCTGTGAGATGAGATGGAAGGAGGAACAAGAGGGATTTTCAGTGTGAGAAGGACCCAACCCGCAACTGCTGGCTTTGAAGAAGGAGAAAGGGGGACACCAGGCAAGGCATACAGCAGCCTCACAAAGCTGGGAATAGCCCCCTCCATTTTCAGCAGCAAGAACACAGGGACTTTGGTCCTACAGCTTCAAGGAATGGAACGCACTGCCAATAACCCCAGTGAGCAGGAAACAGATTCTCCCCCAGGGCCTCCAGAAAGAAACACAGCTTGCCCGCCCCTTGATTTTTGTCCCATCAGACTTGTACCAGACTTCTGATCTACAGAACTATAAGATAACACACATGGCTTGTTTTAAGCCTCTATGTTCTTGGTGATTTGTTATGGCAGCGGTAGAAAACTAGTAATGCAAGCTTTTGATACCAGGAGGGGGCTACTGCTGAAACAAATACCAAACAGTGCAGGAGTGGCTTCGGAGAAGACTCCAGAAGAATTCTGAGGAGCATAACAAAAACAAAACAAAACAAAACAAAAAAACCTAGACTGGTTGAATAGGTTGGTGGTAGAAATATGGACATTAAAGACTCTGCTGATGAGGACTCAGAAGCAACCTTGTTGCTGGAATGACTGTAAACAGACTATTAGTAGGGACCCGGGGCTTTAAGGATGCTGCTGGTGAGGACTCGCAAAAAACTGAGGGGCAGGCTATTGGAAACTGGAGAAAGGGGAATTATTGCCTCATGGTGGCAGAAAGCTTAGTGCAATTATGTCCTGCAGGAAGGGTGGAAAGCAGAACTTGTAGGCAATGAGCTTGAATATTTACTGGGTATTTCCAACCAAAGGTGTTGAAGGTCCAGCCTGGTATCTTCTTGCTGCTTATGGTAAAACCCAAGAGGAGAGAGATACGTTGAGGGAAGAACGGTGAACAAGAAGGAAACAGGGGGCCTGGGTGGCTCAGTTGGTTAAGCGACTGCCTTCGGCTCAGGTCATGATCCTGGAGTCCCGGGATCGAGTCCCATATTGGGCTCCCTGCTCAGCAGGGAGTCTGCTTCTCCCTCTGACCCTCTTCCCTCTCGTGCTCTCTATCTCTCATTCTCTCTCTCTCAAATAAATAAATAAAATCTTTTAAAAAAAAGAAGGAAACAGGACTTCACGAATTTGGAAATCCTCAGCCTACTCACATGGAAAAGATACTAAATTTTAAAAACTGTCAGGAAAGCATGTTTTGAGAAAATGTTGAGGGTGTGGCTGAACAACCTTTTGCTAATACCTCAGAAAGATCCAAAGTTCTGAGTTCAACAAAAGACTCCCTAAAGAGATGAAAGGTGTGACTCATAGCTTCCCTCTGCCATCCCGGCAAAAGCCAAAGATAGAGAAGGGATTTCTCAGACAGATCTGTGGATGAACCACTTGTCTAGCACAGTGAATCCCTCTGATACACATGACCTGGAATGTTCTGGAAGATTTTCTGCCACCTGAAACATGGCCAGCTTGGACCTGAAGGGGCAGAAACAGCATGAAATGGAGGGGGACTGTGGGACTGCTAAATTCTAGATGCAGGAAACAAGTTGATTAGAATATTCAGCTACAAACAGACAGGTGCTCCCTTTAAGGAGGAAGAAAGGATAGCTCAGAGGGCAGAGCCTTGAGCCCAGAGGATGGAAGCATGAAAACCACAGAGGATTATCTCGGGCCTTGAGACAGAATGGCTGTTGCCCTGCTGGATTTCAAAATCGCTTGGGACCAGTCACGCTCTTGTCCTTTGTTCTTCTCCCTTTGTGAACCAGAATATCTATAACTGATATCCTATACTTGCCCTCCCATGGTACCTCTGGAGCAGATGATTTGTTTTAGTTTCACAGGTTCACAAGTAGAGCGACTCACACCCAGAGTCTCACCCATACCTGGTTTAGATGATAAGATTTGGGACTTTTGAGCTGATGAGACTTTTGGACTCTGAATTGATGCTTTAATGGGATGAAACTTTGGGGGGTCTTGGAATGAGGGTGAATGAATTTAGCCCATGGGATGGATGTAAATGTTTGAGGGCCAAGGGACAGACTGGGGTAGGTGGCACAATGGCTCCCCCGAATGTCCATGCCTTAATCCTCACCTCCTATGACTACATTACCTCACACAGCAAAAGGGACTTTGCAGATGTGATTAGATTTCAGGACCCTGAGATGGGGAGATTATCCTGGATTATCAAGGTGGGCCCGGTCTAATCACATGCATCCTTGAAAATGGAGAATCTTTCCAGCTGCCGAGAACCAGAGAGATGGTATCTGGAGAAGGACTCCACCTGCTGTTGCTGGCTTTGACCATAGAAGAAGGATGCCATGAACCAAGGTTGCAACAGCCTCTAAAAGCTGGGAATGCCCTCGGCTTACAGCCAGCAAGAAAAAGAGGATCTTGGTCCTCTATTTGCAAGGAATTAAATTCCACCAACAATCCAAATGAGCAGGAAACAGCTTCTCTCCTGGAATCCTCAGAAAGGATCACAGCCCTGCCCACACCTCAATTCCACTACGGGGAGACCCATACCAGACTTCTGACCTACAGATCTGTGGCTTGGGTTGTTTTAAGCCATAATTGGTGACGGTTTGTTCTGGCAGCAATAGAAAGGTCATGCAGCTATTATTCTGAGCTTTTATTGCAGTCTGCTTTTCACTTGGCAAAATATTAGAAATGTTTTCCTGTGTCATCAAATACTCCTCTGCAACGTCATTTTGAGGGGCCTCATAGAATTCCAGTGTTGACAAATCTCCTCCTGTTGCAGGATTAGATTGCTTATGCTTTTGACTGTTAGAAATAATGGTGGTTGTTACTTTTCCGTATGCATGTTTGCACCCATCCTTGATAACTTCCTTAGGAAGTGCTGTGTAAAACATATTGGTCTTTTTCAATGAGTGTTTAATTAACAGGTGCTTATTCTCAACCGGGGCCTTCCTCCAGGACGCGGAATAGGGGGATCAGAGGAGCCTGTGGATGATTCTGGTGGGTTCCCCGGAGGCAGGCAGGGTCCATTACCTTTCCACTTGGTTTCCTCAACCCTTCCATGAGCAATAAAGCCTGCCTTGCAGACCTCGTGTAACTATTAACAGACAAGGTTTGTAATAGTGCTAACGCATAAAGATGTGCCATAAAGAGGAAGCAGAGTCAAGCCATGTGTTGAGGAGACACCTGCACTCACAGGACCTCCCTGCAGATGTAGATGGAAGGGGACTATTCAGCCCCCCAGCCTCACTGTCCAGCAACGTCTAGATAAGTCTCTGAACATGGCGGCATTTGCCTCAGACGACTCTAAGATTTGCCATTTGATGGCAGACCTGTTCCTGCCTGTGTGTATTTTGCTTCCCTTCTCCTTCCCTGGCTTCCTCATTGAGGGCCAGGCTTTCATTTGATACACAGGTGGGTTTTGAGAACAGCCAACAAGCCATGCCCTTCCCTTCAGTACATGTGACTTCCGAAACTCCAGGTGACTTTTCTGCCCCCAATGTGTGGATGTGGGTTCATTTCCCTTTACCTCAAAATGTCTCTGGTCTCAAGCTCTTTGTGACTTCCCAGGGGCTCATGAAAGTCGGTCAGAAATTGTAGAACATTAAACTGGACCACTATGGATACTTTAACATATACGGTGTATGCTTTAAGGGGGGTGGTTTACCTCAAACCACCAAGCAATAAAATCAGTAACCTCATTTCATCCCAGGGTTCTAGATCTATCCATTTCCTACACCGCGCCCTCTCCTCCTTGTGACTGTTGCCCACCCTCTCCACTGTGGTAGGAGTAGTGTCCTTGGCCTGTGGAAATTGCTAAATGTCCCCCTGTATCATCCAGTGACAAGGCGAAAAAGGAGGAGAAGGAGAAAAAGGAAGAGAAAGAGAAAAACTGCTCAAAACAAGAGGAGTAAGTACTGAGAAGAGCTGCCTCCAACGAGGGGGTGCAGAGATCACAGCAGGCCTGGCCCATCCCTGGGTCCTGGGAGTCGGAGAACCGCGCCGTCAGGCCTTGGCGTCGGCTCTGGAGAGGGGCTGCTTAGTGGTGTGGGAGCGGAGTTGGTCCCAGGTGGGGATCAGGCTTCCTGAGGTGGTGTGAGGGGCCCACTCTGCAGGGAGAGTCCTGCCCCAGCTCTGAGCACCCAGAGGGGGCTTATAGGTTCAGAGGGCTGTCTGCAGCCTTGGGTGAGCAACTAGGGGCTGTCCCTGTGAGCCTGCTCCTGTGCACCCCCACCCCACATTCTGTTGGTCTGTACGGTCGGGGTAAGCTGAGGCCTACTCCTGGGCACTAGGAAATACTGTATTCTCAAACTTCACTCCAAACCCAGCGGTGATGTGCGTTGGGAACATTCCAAAGCCCTGTCAGTGAGCTGTTGATCTTGCACCCGCTGAGTCCAGGCAAAGGCAGAAAGACATCCCAGCGTCTCCTCCGGGGCATGGGCGCAGCTCTGCAGGCCTGGGCCAGCTTGTGGGGCTTATGGGGTGGGAGAGAAGACACATGGCCCCAAAGAAAAAGAAGAATCTCCAGCACCACCTCTAAACTCTAATCCTCAGAAAATCCTGAAAATAAAAACAGAAAGCACCCTAAGCTGTTGCTTCCTTCAGTGTTGGCCCACATAACCTAGATGATTCCCAGGCTAGTTGGTTTTTGATGGGGAGACAGGATCCAAGCGCCTGGACATGAGTCTTCAGATCATCTGCCCAAATGCGATTAGCTCCCGAATGCACTGCTTCAGAACCACTGGGCAGTGTGTAAATGCACATCTCCAGCCCCAGCCCTGGAGGGTTCTGGGTGGGCCCTGGGAATCAGCGTTTTCACAGAGCTCCCCCAGATGGTTCCAACATTACCATGCTGCATTTGATTCCCAGCATGCTGAAGGACATGGGTGATACCATGGGCACATGGGAATGTCATCACCATGATTTTATTGTCAGCTGTGGCTCCCTGAGGAGCTGAGCTAGGAAGGAAGGACCTCCAGAGTCTGCCCTCTCCCAGCCTGTGCCCCCATGTAGGGATACCCCATGTGACTCCCCGAGACTGACAGAACGTGTCTCTTGAGTTTAGCCTGCAGTTGCCGTAGGGTCTCTAAGCTAAACTGAATCTCGAAGACTGTCCAATGTTGTGATCTTTCAACACGCTGCATTGTTTGTGTGTCGATGTTTCCAGAAACAAGGACAGCGTGGTGGTGGACCCCTCCGGCAACATGTACTACCGCTGGTTGACTATCATTGCTCTGCCTGTCTTCTATAACTGGTGTCTTCTGGTGTGCAGGTAGGGGCAGGGGCAGGGTATCCACACAAGGAGCGGGTAAGGGTGGAGGGTCCAGGAAGGGTGAGGGCAGTCAGGCCTCAAGAGAGAGCTCTGGGTCCCACTCAGGGGACTGGATTTCTGGGCGCCACATGGCCACCATCCAACTGAGTGTACCCGCTTCTCCATCAATAAGGAGGATCTGAAAGCGTACCATCAGAGTTCTCTGAAGCACTGGTGAGGACCTGTGCTTGTTATGGACAGCGAGGGTCCTGTCGAACATTCTTAATCCAGCTGTAGGAGGAAGATGCAGGGGCGAGTAGCTACTCTTCCGAGGGGAAGTGGGTGGGGGTTGGGCATTCCTGAGCAGCAACAGGACAAGGACAGAAGGGAAGGGCACAGTTCTCTGACTGTAAGCTGTGGGCTGTGGGTCTCCCCAAGCAAGCTGCAGTGCTGGGGGGCAAGCTGCTGCCCTTGTGAGGGCAGCCGGGGCCTTTGGGGTGCTCCTGAGAAGGCCTGCAGGACAGGGATGCAGGGCGAGGGTAGATGTGGGCTTCGGGAAGTTCCCCCGCAAATGTACTTTTGGGATGCAAGGCAAGCTGTTGCTCTTCTGGGGAGAGCTGGAGGCTCTGGAACTTTCCTAAGCAAGCTGTAGGAGGCAGGTGCAGGGTGAGCTGCTAACTCCTCTAATAAGGGATCAGGCGAGGGAGGGTTTAGGGTCTCCTAGGAAATCTGCTGCATGGCAATACAGGGGCAGGATGCTGCTCCTCTGAAGGTAAGCTGGGGGTCTGGGCTTCCCTGAGCAAGAGTACAGGATGGGGGGTGCCAAGGGGCTCTGTTCTCCTGAGGGCAAACAGGACCTTTGAGCATCCCTGGGCAAGCTGCAGGCCAGGGAGGCAGGGCCGGCTGCTGCTGTCCGTGGACACGCAGGGGCTGTGGGGCATTTCTGAGAAAGTCTGTAGGAGAGAGAGGTAGGGATACCTTGTCTCTCCTCTGATGGCGTTGGTGGGAGTCTGCGGCCTGAGTGAGGTGCCGGGCAAGGGTGCAGGGAGAAGAGGCTGTGTTTCCTGAGTGCTGGGCTTTGCAGCCTTCCTGCGCCAGCTCATGACAGAGGCCTGCAGGGGTGAGTATGGGCCTTCCCATGGCAGCTGAGGCTTTGGGCACTCTGGAGGGGAAGGGAGAGGCTACCCTTCTGAGGGGGCAGGAGGTAAACGGGGAAGCTCCTGAGCAAGCAGTTGGAGGACAGGGAGGCAAGAGGTGCTGCTCTTCTGGAAGTACGCAGGAGGCCGTGGGGCTTTTCCAAGCAAGCTTCAGGGAAGGAAGGGGGGAGCTGCTACTCCCTGAGAGTAAGTGACGGGGTTTGACGGGGTGCAGGGCCCTTCCCAGCAGGCCTACAAGACAAGGACGCGGGCTGAGCTACTGCTCTTCTGAGGGTGGGTTGAGGAGGTGCGGGGAAGGCAAGGGGACTCTGCAGCAATCCTGAGCAAGGCTGCGAGAGAGACAGCTGCTGCTTCTTGGGGATGGGGAGGAGACATGCTACTATCTGAGTGTAAGTGGGGGCTTTGGGGATTATCTGAGCAAGGTGGGGGTATCTCCTGCTCTTCTGGGGGGAAGTGTGGGCGTGAGAAGGGGGAGAACTTGGGGTCGCTGCTAGCCCACCTGCAGGATGGGGATAAGCGGGCAAGCCGCTCCTGTGTGAGTGGGGGTGCTGGGGCTGCAGGGAGGCTGCCATTCTGCGGAGGCATCAGGGGGTTCCGGTTGCTGAGGAGCTGCAGGCCCCAGCTGCTGCTCTTTTGAGGTGAAGAGGGGTGTTTAGGGGATATTGTCTGTATGAGAAATAGTGAGCATAAGGATCTAGAAAGCAGAAAATATTTACTGGCTTGTTCCGTTGTTAATTTCTGAGAAATTCCTCTAGTTTTGTTGGCCTTTAGCCCCAGAAGGGTCAAGTGCTCTGTCTCTGCACATGACTCCACCAGTGAGGCCTAGAAGAACTGTCCCTCCTGGCATCCCGGACCTTACCGTTGAGAGGCCACAGGGCTCACTGTTTGGGGCAGAAAAGCTTCTCAGAGCTGGTGTCCTCCTCAGAGCCTGGGGAGATAACGCTGGGGCACACACCCTGGCAGGCAGGGCTGATTCCAAGATGAACGCCACTGTGTTCAGCCCGGAGCCAGTGACTGCTTCGGACCAGCCCCCCGACACGTGCACTCCTTCCCTCGCTTGCTTAGGGCCTGTTTCGATGAGCTACAGTCCGAGCACGTGATGCTGTGGCTGGTCCTGGACTACTCGGCAGATGTCCTCTATGGCTTGGATGTGCTGGTGCGAGCCCGGACAGGTGAGTGGGTCCGGGCCCAGGGACTTCTCTGGGCCAGGCCACAGGGCCCCCTCATGCATCAGGAAGAGGACCACGGGGACCACAGGGCAGGTTCAGGAGTTCCAGAATGGCGGGCCTCACCTCCCCCTGACCACGAGAGCCCCCTCTACAGTGGCCCTTTAGCAGAGGTCAGGGCACCTGGGTTCTGGTCTCTGCTGTCCCAACGAGCTGTGGGACCTTGAGCCAGTCGAGTTGTCTCTCTGGGCCTCATTTGTATCACCTATGAAATAAGGCCAACCTGTCGTCTCTCAAAGGACCCCTCCTGCAGCGACGATTCAATATGGCAGGAAACAGGAGGGAGAGCTCCATCAATCTTGGAGTTCCTTTTTCTGGACAGTCGGAGGATCCAAGACATGTCACTCCGTGGTTTTAGATGTATGCAGGAATAAAATCAGAAACAGGGCCCGAGAGGAGGATGACTTCCCTCAGATCGCCTCTGGTTGTGGGTGGGGGCTAAGAGCCCCCCATGTCTGAGGGTCCAAGCCGTATATCCTTGGGGCACCTTTTTCTAATCTGCACGAAGACATCACATCAGCTGGCAGGGGCCCGGCTTGTCACTTTCAAGATTTTGGAGCTGAAAGCCTTGCCATAGTTGCCAATATAAACACCACCACATCACAGCAGCAAGCCTCCCTTATGGCTTCATGGTGTACAAAGCATTTCAAGCACCTCTCGGTTTCTCATGAGAACTGCTGCATGAGACAGGAAGTGCAGGCATGATTACCTCCATCTTGCTGATTTAGAAACTGAGGCCCAGAGATGCTGAGTGACTGGCCCAAAGTGCCCCACTGGCACTCCCTGAATCTCCGCAGTGCCCAGCATCATAAGTTAGAAGACCTCTGGGGCGCCTGGGTGGCTTAGTCAGCTAAGCATCCGACTCTTGATTTCGGCTCAGGTCATGATCTCAGGGCCCTGGGATCAAGCTCTGTCTTGCTCCCCACTCAGCAGGGAGTCTGCTTGTCTCCCTCTCCGTCTGTTGCTCGCCCTGCTCATGTGCACTCTCTCTTAAATAAATAAATAAATCTTTTAAAAAGAAGAAGACCTCAAATATGCAGCTTGAGGCTTGCATGAGTGACAGTATCTCCTGCTCTTCTGAGGGGAAGTGGTGGTCTGCCACTTCGTGGTCACATAAGCCCACCTTGACACGAGAGCTCCACGGGTGCCCCGAGTCATCGAGCCAGCTATTCCTGTTTCAACCAAGCTTCAGTGGGACAAGTCACCCCCACTCAGACAGGGATCCCACCCCTTTCCGTGCTTTGGTACTATCGCTGGCAATCTAAGATTCAGCAGGAAGCCTCGGGGGGGGGGGGGAAGGCAGATAGGCACAGAAACCAAGTGGCCATGGGTCATACTTGAAAGGGAAAAAAATCTCCAGAATCAAGAGAGGACATTATTAAGGAAGTAGGGAGGAGTCCCAAGGTGCTAGGAGTGCTGTGGAGTGATCTAGGGGCTCAACAAACACAATGGTAACCAAAGAACGAAACAGAAAATTAGGGCCTGGGAGGCAGGGTGTCCCTACCATGTGATCACAAACTTGATGCTTGCTTTTCACAAAGGGGGTAGTCCTGCCTCCAGCTAGCCCTCAAAGTGTGACCCTGGATCAGCAGCAGCAGCATCTAGACTTGTTAGAAGTAGACCCCAGACCTCTGGAACCAGCGGTGGGGATGGCCCAGACTCTGGGTTTCACAGAACCCTCAGTATGAGTCTGATGCTTACCAAATTCTAAAAGACATTCATCATATCATCCTCTTTACTTTTGTGCATGTTTGAAAATGTTTGGGGGAAAAAAAAGAAGAAGAAGAATGCAAATCTCAGCCTACTTGACTGATTTTACCAGTAATAACACCTCATGGCTCTCCGATGTCCAGCTCAGCTCCAGACCAGTCTGATGCTGCATATGTTTTCAGAGCCCTTGGGGTGACAGTAATGTGCAGCCAGAAAGGAGAGCTACTGCTTCCATAGGCAATGTTTTTAAAAAGCAGGTCATGGTCCATTGGTGGCTGGTGAAATCAGTTTGATAGGCCATGTGCTTCTACAGTTTTTATCATTAATATTTTCAAACAAATACAAAATCAGAGACAGTAGTATTATGAACCCCCATGTACCTTCACCCAGCTTCAGCAGTTACCAACATTTTGCTCTTCCCCCACACCCTTTTCTTGGCGGGAGTATTTTAAAGCCAATCTCAGACAGTAACCACTTTAACATGTATCTCTAACTTTAAAGGACGCATTTTAAAAATATAATGTCCAGAGGCTCCTGGCTGGCTCAGTCAGAAGAGCATGAGGCTCTTGATCTTGGGGTCATGGTGGGTTCACGCCCCACATTGGGTGTAGAGATTACATAAATAAACTTAAATATATATATTTAACACATCCATTTATCTTTTAAAATTTAATAATCATTCCTTGCTATCATCTAACAGCAGTCCACATTCAAATTTAGCCAATTAATATACATTTCTAACTGAATAAAATAGGTCGGAATATCATAGATGAGAAAATATCAGAGTGCATTTTCGTAGTAAGAGGTAAATGTGGTTTTTGAAATTGTTTCTGTCATGTATGTATAACTACGTCTTCTTTAGTTACAGTGTAAAATATTTTCCTGTGGGCCACGGTCAAAAAAAACAGCCTCTTTAATGCCCAAGTGACCTCCGTCTTTTTCTTTAGGCTTCCTTGAGCAAGGCTTGATGGTCAGGGATGCCCAGAGGCTTTGGAAGAATTACACAAAGACCGTGCATTTCAAGCTGGACATGTTGTCCCTGGTCCCCACAGACCTGGCTTATTTTAAGTTCGGTATAAACTACCCAGAACTGAGGTTCAACCGCCTATTGAAGTTTGCCCGGCTCTTTGAGTTCTTCGACCGCACAGAGACAAGGACCAACTACCCCAATTTGTTCAGGATCGGGAACTTGGTCTTGTACATCGTCATTATCATCCACTGGAATGCCTGCATCTACTTTGCCATTTCCAAGTTCATTGGTTTTGGGACAGATTCCTGGGTCTATCCAAACATCTCAAACCCAGAGTATGGACGCCTTTCCAGGAAATACATTTACAGTTTCTATTGGTCCACCTTGACCCTGACCACCATCGGGGAGACCCCACCCCCTGTGAAAGATGAGGAGTATCTGTTTGTGGTCATAGACTTCCTAGTGGGCGTCCTGATTTTTGCCACCATTGTTGGCAATGTGGGCTCCATGATCTCGAACATGAATGCTTCACGGGCCGAGTTTCAGGCCAAGATTGACTCTATTAAGCAGTACATGCAATTCCGCAAGGTGACCAAGGACTTGGAGACACGGGTGATCCGGTGGTTTGACTACCTGTGGGCCAACAAGAAGACGGTGGATGAGAAGGAGGTGCTCAAGAGTCTCCCAGACAAACTGAAGGCCGAGATCGCCATCAATGTGCACCTGGACACTCTGAAGAAGGTCTGCATCTTCCAAGACTGTGAGGCAGGGCTGCTGGTAGAGCTTGTGCTCAAGCTGCGGCCTGCAGTGTTCAGCCCAGGCGATTACATCTGCAAGAAGGGGGACATCGGGAGGGAGATGTACATCATCAAAGAGGGCAAGCTGGCTGTGGTGGCTGATGATGGGATCACCCAGTTCGTGGTCCTGAGTGATGGGGGTTACTTTGGGGAGATCAGCATCTTAAACATCAAGGGGAGCAAGTCAGGGAACCGCAGGACAGCCAACATCAGGAGCATCGGCTACTCAGACCTGTTCTGCCTTTCCAAGGATGATCTGATGGAGGCTCTCACCGAATACCCGGAAGCCAAGAAGGCCCTGGAGGAGAAGGGACGGCAGATCCTGTTGAAGGACAACCTGATTGATGAGGACCTGGCCAAGGCCGGAGCAGACCCCAAGGATATCGAGGAGAAGGTGGAGCACCTGGAATCCTCCCTGGACACCCTGCAGACCAGGTTTGCACGGCTCCTGGCTGAGTATAACGCCACCCAGATGAAAGTGAAGCAGCGTCTCAGTCACCTGGAAAGCCAGGTGAAGATCTGTGGGAGTGACCCTCGGTCTGACGGGGGTGCTCCTGGGGAGGCTGAGAAAACAGAGACCAAACAAGAGTGAGAGGCAGAGGTCCATGCGTGTCCTCCTTCCCAGAGTCAGCCGTTGGTGTGATGCACAGCGACCGCAGATAAACGGCCCAGGACTCGGTGAGGTTGCATTCCCGTTCTCCTTACCCTTTGTAGGCCATGTGGCCCTGGGAGAGAGCCTCAGTTTCCTCATTTAGGAAGGGGGGCTCATCCTGTCAGCCCCAGTTAAGTGGCAGGTTATTGTGATATCCCCATGGAACACTTGCACGGGGCAGGGTTTGGTGCAGTGTGAGGTGTCCCCAGTCCACGAATACGAAAGTGTGGGCACAGAACCCTTATTTGTTTTTAATCCATGGGGAACTTTTAGACTTTTGAAACTTATTTTCTTGTAAATGGAAGATTATTTAGTCATCCACCCCCTCGCATGCCCCACGCCACCACCTTCTGACAAGGGAGATGTAACAGAAGCTAGAAGTGCAACGTGGGATCTCAAATTCAACCTTACACGAGACAGTTTGGGGCACATTTCTGAATCTCATTTCTCCTAGCGTGCTCTTTGGGATTCTAGAAATCCTGGCCTTTGGTCATGCTGTGATAAGCATAAGGGATGAAGCCAAGTCGCCCCATTTGAGGTCACTTCGAGCCTTTGAAGCAAACCCAGACTCCCTGCCGTCCGGCCCCCGTGAAACCCCGAGAACATCTCGATGAGGGAAAGAAACATCTTCTAATTCACCAAAGGGGTTTGAAGACAGCCTCTCCCCTCATTCCTGAGTCAGGAACAGGGGCAGCCTGTTCTGGGTTGAGGGGGAGAGTTATGTTCAGGGGAGAGCCTTTCAGGTTGGAGGTGGGGGTCCTTAGTCAACCGATGCTGCCAACTAGAACTTTCAGAAGATCAGACCTTTAGGCCATATCTTTGCAAACTGCCTCTCCACGCAAAGAGGAAGCCTCACTCTCCTTTGGAATCATATCCAGTGGCAAAGCTCTCATCTAGGCGGAAGTGTGCCCAGGACAGGACCTCCCTTTTTACTTTTTTTATCCAGTAAATAGAATTCCCTTACCATTGTATAAGATGTTTCTATATTTGGGCTCTATGATTATGAATTATAACCTTAAGGGCCTATCCTTCTCTTAAGTACACATTGTAAATTACCCAAAGGTGAGTCATTCCTCCGATACAGAGAAGCCACATGTGAAGTTTCCTTCTCTTTTCTCCTTCTCCTTCCTTTCCTCCTCCCTCTCTCCCTCCCTCCCCCCACCTTCCTTCCTTCTCTCTTTCTCTGCTGTTCCAAGTTCTCCTCTTCTTCTGCTTCCTCTTTCTTCTCAGAAAAAAAAAAAATGCCCCATTTTGCTTCAGCAACTTTGAAGTTTATAATCCATATGCTACATAACTGGGCCCTAATGTAGTTCATACAAAAGGTGCTGCATTTTCAAGTATGTATTTTGGATTTATATGGGTCTCTTCTGGTTTTTATTATGGATCATTTAGCCATTTTAACTTTCTAAAATGAATTTAAAAGGACTACTAAAGGAAGATGTGATCCAAGCTCACACCATCAACAAATTGTAACTAGCAATGTATTCTCAAAATGCATATATTTTAAAAGCCTTAACTATTAATTATATATACATTTATATTTGCACAGGAAACAGACCTGGATTAAAAAAATATTGAATGACTCCTTCTTCATATTTTATCAAAGGGGAGATTTAGTTCTGGGGTATGTGTCTAAGGCAGTGAGTAAAACAGGTGCTGGTGAACAGGGGATAACCTGTGAAAGCCCTTGGGTGCAGAAAACATCACATTGTTTTCCTTGAGGAATAAATGAATTTGGTTTCATGTAATTAGTCTCCAGCTGCCAAGATTGTTGGGAGGTTGAGTCCCCGGCTGTTTTCAGGACTCCTATTCACTGTCTCGGAACCTGAGACAAGGTTTGTGTTCTCCCAGCCACTGTGGCTGCCCACTGGAGGCCATCCCTCCCACTGCACTGGGTTCAGCCACAGGGAGCCATGCTGGGAGACAGGGAGACAGCTTCTCTTGGTGCCTTTTGTGGGAGTCTAAGCCCATGGAAGTGTGTGTGTGTGTGTGTGTGTGTGTGTGTGTGTGTGTGTGTGTGTGTTTCTCAGAACAGAAAGTCCCTGAGACAAGAAGGGAAGGAAATATTGGTGAGCACCCCCCAGGTGTGGATGGATGCGGGCTGTCTGGCAGAACGCTAGGGAGGTGGGAGGTGGCAGGACTTTGGATGAGAGGACTGGACACTTTGGCTCTGGGGAACCCAGCCTGGCAAAGATCCCAGCGTCTCAAGCTTGGAAAATACCAAAGCTGCTAGGCAACAAGGAACAACACAGAGCTGGACACAGTATCTTGTCAGTAACCAGTATAAAAAGTGTCTGGAAATATTTGTAAATCAATTGATTCATCAAGAGAGACGTCTGCTCCATCCCCCTGAAGCATTGGCCCTCAGAGATCTAATGGTACCAACTATCAAAGTTAAACAGGACCAGGGATCTAATATAGCTTTATCAGCAAACTCAGGTCCATCTCAGACCCTTCTTCCAGGATGTTACGAAATAGAAGCCAACGAAGTTCCCTCTTGGTCTCAGGGCCATTGGTAATACCCTGAGGAAGGGAAGATGTAATGTAATGAACAAAATGGAAAATAAAAATGCTTCTTTGAAGTGCAGGGTATGAATTTTGTCTAGTAAAGTTGAAGATTCTCATACCTGTGTCCTAGCAACCCTTTCTGGCTCCATATTATAGGAAAAAAATTTCAGATATGTGTACCCAGAGGCATGTACAAATGTTTATTGCAGCATTTTTTTAATAGAAAAAAGGAAATAACTCACAGATCAGAATCTAAAAACAAATTAGGTAAATATATAATATGTTAGGTGTTTCACCAAAGAGAATTAAATAGAGGGAATTAATCGAATGGGCGTCGGAGGGCTGAGAGAGCATAAAGGGAGCCCTGAGGTTATCCAGAGTAACTACAGAAAGCAGCTGTTACCCTTAGGGCTGGGGGAGCAAAGGAGAAGGGGTACTCAGAGGAGAGCCCCTCGGAGCTGTAACTCAGACCTCTGAAGGGGGGCTGTTGCTGGCGGTTACTGGTATTGTAGGAACTCAGAGGAGTTTGGAAGAGGTAGGACTTTGGACATTATCTGAAAAGGGGCATTGTGTGGTGGCACCGGTCCTGAGGAGTCCCAAAAGAAGTTCCCAAAGGAGGCTGGATCCAACTGCCACTGCCGGGGCCATCTACTGCTATTCTGGCTATGTAACAGGACTCGTCCCTAACTGTTGCCGAGTAGAGCCCTAGGAAAGGGAAGACAGAGAGGAAGGAGGTCTTGGACTTCGCTGACAGAATGTCTGCCGCAGACTGGAGGCCCTACCTCAGATGTACTTAGACGAGGCGGTGAAGACCCTCTTCCCATTGACTGATGTCTGAAAGCCTGCCGTCAATGGTTTTTTCCTTTGTCCTGAAGCTTTTTCCTTTGGAGAATGTGGAAATCCCTGAGAAAAGGCAGGATGGGAACAAGGGAAAGGATCATTCCTCAAGCATCTCCTGTGTGAGGGCATTGCTCTTCATGCTAAAGTATGAATTTCCTCAGTTAATAATCGCTCCTGTTGGGGGAAACGTCTTTCCTTAGACATTTATTCTTTAAATATAATCAACATCGTTCATTAATTGGTTTTTTAAATGTACGCCTATTCTGTGCAAAGCAGAGTTTAAGAATGGCTTTTCTGGGGCGCCTGGGTGGCTCAGTCGGTTAGGCATCAGACTCTTGATTTCAACTCAGGTCATGATCTCAGGGTTGTGAGATCGAGCCCCGCGTGGGGCTCCCCGCTCAGCACAGTCTGCTTGTCCCTCTCCCTCTGCTCCTCCTCCTGCTCTCTTTCTCTCAAATAAATAAATAAAATCTTTATAAAAAAAAGAATTGCTTTCCTAAAACTCATCTATTAGAATGGCTAAATACAAGAAACTGGCAATGCCAAATGTTTTCAAGGTTGTGAAGCGCCACGAATTCTCATTCATTGTCTGGTAGGTATGCAAAATGGTACAGCTACTTTGGACAACAACTTGGTATATTTTATAAAGTTAAAAATACACTTAACATATGATTACAAAGAGGACACATAGGGGAAATTTTAGAGTGATGTGTGGTACTGAGGTGGTGGGTATAGGATTCGATGCATCTGTCCAAATTCAGAACCGTATATCACAAAGAGTGACCTTTAATGTATGCAAATTGTAAAGTATCAACCAGGATGTGGGACAATCCCAGGATGGAAAGATGATTGTGACAATTGAATTTAACTGCATTAAAAAATATGACATAACCTCACTAAAGGATTTAGGGTAAAATGATGACCTAAGTAATTTTTGGTCAGGATAGTCCTCCAACTCTGTTAATCCTTTTCAAGATTGGTTTGGCTATTCTGGGTCCCCTCCATTTTCATAAAAATTTTAGGTCGGCTTGTCCATTTCTGCAAAGAAGGCAGCTGGATTTTGATAGGGATTGCATTGGGTTGTAGATCCATTTGGGGAGATATCGCCATCTTATAACTACTGAGTCTTCTGATCCATAAATACCAGATGTCTTTCCATTCACTTAGGTTTTCTTTATTTCTTTGAACACTGTTTTGGATTTTCAGCATAGAAGTCTTGGATTCTTTTGTTAAATATATTCCTAAGTGTTTTATTCCTTTTGACGCTATATTGAATGGAGTTGTTTTCTTAATTTCATTTTCAGGTTGTTCATTGCTATTTTATAAAAAAAAAAAAATACTGATCTTGTATCCCGTATCTTTGCTGATCTGGTTTACTCTAATTCTTTTAAATGGATTTCTTAGGCTTTTCTATATACAAGATCATGTTATTGCAAATGGAGATGGTTTTACTTTTCCTTTTCAGTGTGAATGCCTTTATTTTTTTCCTTGCTCACTTGCTCTAGCTAGTATCTCCAATAAAATGTTGCATGGATGTGGCAGGAGACATCCTTGTCTTCTTGTTCCTGGTCTTAGGAGTAAAGCACTCAGTC